CTTTCTCTGTCTCATTTTGAATTGTACCTGAAAATTTAGTTTATCAACGTCTCTTCTGTTTTAAGAAAATATGGTTTCTTGCACAGCAGTGCGGGGGTGGAGACTAAAATTATAAAATTATATGTGAAGTCATAGTGTTCTAAATCCTTCTTTTCATCCCTGTCTACCCCCTACCCTTCGTCAGTTTCATCAAGAAACACCACTTTTTTTAGGTGACCGGAATTTTTTTTTTTGCTCCAGTGTGTATTTGTATAAGAAACATACGAGTTATTTGCACAGTTAGATATTGTTAAGACTTTTGTACACATATAGATAGGTTTAGTCCAATTATATGTGAATTTGTTGTATTTTTCTGTTTAATGTAACATGAAAATCTAGAGAGATGATGCTCTGCGGAAAAAATAAGAATGCAAGGGTAAGTCTATTTAACATTGAGTAAATGACCCTCCCGCTAATTTGGCGAGATATCGCCAAGCTTGCAACGGTTTTGGCGACATTTTGGTCCGGACTCTATATCCCCATAATAAGTACTGTAATTGATTTCATATGCAATTGTAACCGTATCCTGCCACTGTATGCCTTCCAGTAATATCGAGAAGTACTAGATATTTATCGGCGTCCGGGGGGGGGCAATACAAGACCGGAGACAATATCTGCTCTCAATTGTTGCCGTTAGTTGTTAGTTCAGCGTGAGTTCCAAATACTGAGATATCTCTTGGGTTAGCTTCACTCTTTACTGCGCTTTGGATTGCATTCTGGAGAAGGCATGGATGTAATTGGCTGTCCCTTCATAGGAGGTAACGGTGGCTGCCTATTAGGTGCATCCATAATAAAATGAACACCGCTTCCGGCATTTGTAGTGGCGAAAGCCTAAAAATGGCTAGTGCTCACCCCCCCCAAAAAAAAACACCACTTTCTTAAATCATTTCGTTTCGAGGAAGCAATTTCTTTCCCTTCATTCAACCATGACACAAATTTACAATTTTAATTCATGCTTCAAAGTTTTTCTTTATGATGAATTATTTTTTCTCTGAACATTGAATTTTTTAGATCAAAAGGGACGTTAGTCCTGAATGTTATATTATCTCGAAGGGGCATTTTTCGTTGATTCACTATACATCAAAGCTATTAGAATAAATGGAATAAGCCTTCTCCGTATGTTCCGTGCAATGAAAATGAAACCATTAAACGTCACGATATGACGTTACGACTTATCATGGTCTCTGCCATAGCGGACATCTGGTTATGTTTAAAATATAATAGGTGCCTACATGTTATAAGTTAGCATGTCTACACGTTAGCCTATTCATTATTGAACATTTTATAAGTCTTCGTTTTTAATTTTAATGCTTAACATAAATCATTTTGAATTCAGTACGAAGAAAAATCACAAGATTTCAAATTTAATACAGTCAAGGTATACATGAAAACGTGGAAACGGTAATTGTAACGCAAATGTATACATGATAAAACTTAGAATACTAGAGAAAGTTTCAAATGGTATTTTACGAAATTAGTCTTCGTTTATAAGTCTTCGTTTATATTTATAAGTCTTCGTTTTTAATTTTAATGCTTAACATAAATCATTTTGAATTCAGTACGAAGAAATATCACAAGATTTCAAATTTAATACAGTCAAGGTATACATGAAAACGTGGAAACGGTAATTGTAACGCAAATGTATACATGATAAAACTTAGAATACTAGAGAAAGTTTCAAATGGTATTTTACGAAATTACGCTTGAAGATACTTTGCTGAGGTTGCGGACATTAATATTTCCTCTCAGCCTAATTTTATTCAACAATATATTTCTTGGCTATGATAAATCGTGACATCATGTTGCTGACATCTTCTTGACTTCACTATTGTCACGTGATGTTTACTCCATCTATTCTAAGCTCCTTGTTATAAACAGCGTATAATTGTCAAATTGTTGCCACCAAATATTATAGTCCTCTAATATATTTTAAAAAAATAAATAATGAAGAATCTACATGAATGTATGTCTTTTTTTCCCCGCACTGTGAGAAAACAACGGTACCTAGAGCCATCAAATTTCGAATAACGTAATCCTCCACATGGGCAACTGGAAGACCGAAGTTTGAATTTCGAATTTATTTCCTTAACTATTTCACTTTTTGTGAAATTTTAGCGAATTTTTCATTAATAAACTCAAAGATTTGAAAGCGAGCAGTGACAGGGAAAAAAAAATTATTTCCAGTGCCTCGAGATTGTATGTCAGAAAATTCTAAAGATAAACGGTTTTTAAATATTTTGGGATTTTTCTGTTCAATCGACTTATCAAAAATCGACAAGAATTTTATATTTATAAAAAATGTAAGGACACAAAATGTTAATAATAAAACACACACACACACACACACACACACAAAAAAAAAAAAAAAAATCTGAAATGTTTCAGATTTTAAATTACGTCCAAAGGGGCGTTTTTTAACATTTTTGTGTGTTACCTTTCTTTATTAAATATCATGTTCCTCGCACTTAAAACCATAAGATCCAGTGCAACAGCAATATCGCAAAATAGTTTTAAAAACGAGCCTATCTTTAGAATTTCCGATACAGAGACTCACGCGCTGGAGATAAAAATGTTTTTTTGCACAACGTTGCCATTGCTCGCTTTGAAATCCTTGAGTTTGTTAATCAAAAATTCGTCAAAGTTTTAAAAAATAGGAAATCGATCATAAAACAAATTTCAAATTTCAAATTTGGTCTTCCACATGCTCATATTCGTTGGAGGATTACGTTATTCAAAATTCGATGACTCTATGTACCGTTGTTTTATGACAATACGAGAAATATACATACATTTATGCAGATTTTCATTATTTAATTTCTTCAAATATAATGCAGGACTCTAACATTTTGTGGCAACAGTTTGAAAAGTGAACCGACATTTATGAGTCCGACGCAAAATGCCAAAACGAAACTAATAGTCCTTCGAGATTCAAATCCCTTTGGACTAAAAATTCTGAAAGGTTTCGGATTTTAAATTACCTCTAAGGAAGTGTTTTTTAACTTTTTGCGCGTTACCTTTATTTATGAAATATCATGTTCTACGTACCCAAACTATAAAATTCAGTTCAGCAGCAATATCGTAAATTAATTTTAAGATGAGCATATCTTTAGAATTTCCGATATAGAGCCTCGCGATATAATTTTTTTTCCTCGTACAGTGTTGCCATTGCTCGCTTTGAAATCGTTTAGTTGTTTAATCAAAAATTCTTTGAATTGTTACAAAATATGAAACCTGTAATAAAACAAATTTCAAATTCAAATTAGGTCTTTCACATGCCCATATTCTATGGAAGATTACCGTTATTCAAATTTCGATGATTCTAGGTACCGTTTTTATCACAGTGCGCGATATATGCATACATTTATGCAGATTCTTCATTATTTAGTTTATTTAAATAAGACTGATTAATTTATTGATCTGATTTAATTTAATTTATTAAATGTATAAGACAGGGCGGTAATATATGGTGGACCCGATTTGAAAAGTGATACAACATTTTAAAATTTTCGACGCAAAATACCAAAAAGAAATTAATAGTTTTTCAAGGGAAACCCTTTGGACTAATAATAATTGTTTTTACTTAATCGCCATTTGACTAAATTCAATTCTGAAGTCTTCTACGGTGGAAAATTGACCTCTCAGACAGGAATGTGGTCAGTGATTCTGAATGCCGTACGGTAAACCTCGGATTTGTATCCGGGTAAGGCATGGGATAAATAGGATATAGGAGGTAACTGTGGCCCACCGATTAGATGCGTCGATAATCAAGTGACCACCGCATTAGCGTTAGTAATGGCCAACGTCTATAAAGGCTAGTGTACGACCTTGGGGGGGGGGAATTGCGTCTTTAATCAAGTCTTGAAACTGCAATATGGTTCCTCTTTTTTTTTTTATAATTAAATTACCTTCAGTGTGTTATATTACTTTATATTATGTATGCTATATCACTTATTCACATATGTTTTTAAAGTTCTAGTTTCTTTGTTCAATTCATATTTAATTAGGAAAAATGATTTGAAACGAGTTTTTATCACTTCCATATCCGACTAAATTCTGAATTTCCTAACGTGTTTCAGACCATTTTCCTGTATTTTAATATTAGCAGCTACGCTGTCAGCCTTCGTCAGGCTTTTAAATGTACCGTAAAAATGCCTGAAGGGAACAGCAAACGTTAAATTTTAAAAACTGCGCAGAATTTTACTCTGCAGAACAACTTCATCAAAAACAGAAAATCACAAATTTAAACCAAAAATATTACATATAACAAAATTACGATGAAATAAGCAATATCTCTTATTATAAATAATAATTATCCTAATAAATAAATTAATCAACTTCTCGTTGCCTTTTCTTAACAAACGTCCAGTATCCAAGAGAAACATTAAATTTAAAAACTCCACAGAATTATCGCCCTCATTTTTCCAAGTGGCAACAGTGCTGATTTTCAACAGTCAGCAGTCCAGTATACGATTGAATGCAAAACTGTTGCCAAAACCACACGTCTAAAAGAATGAAACCATTCAAAATGATGCGATAAAATCGAAAAGATAAAATTTAAAAAATTCTGATTCGAATTTTGAAAAAATTGCTTCGAGATGCATTGGCTCTTGTCTAGATACACCTATGTACCAAATTTCGTAGCTCTGTGTCTATTAGCTTACGCGCAGCACGTACAAAAGACACGCAGACACTTTCTTTTATCTTTTATTATTATGTAGAGATATTATTTCCTATTACACACGAGCTTCAAAACTGCATCACCATATATTTGAGCAAGTTATTTGAAATTTTTCATTTTATTTTTTTTATTTATTTAATTTAACATCTATTTTCGTATGCATTCTTTTATGTTCTTGTATTAATACTTGTGGCAACGTTTTCAAAATAGTGTGAGACTGGAAATAAAATTTTTATTCACGTACTTTCAATTATTAATCTTTTATATTATTTCATGATTTCAGGATCAAATTCTTAAGAAAAAACTCGGATTATGAGTTGAATCTGATAGGATTTTTACTCCCTCCAAGTAATCCATATATTAGAAAATTGTAAGTTCTTTTTTTTTTTTTTTTTTTTTTTTCTTTTGATATTTTTGAATCTTTAAGGATTTAATATCATAATTGAAAATTGTGACCGTATGTTTCACTTGTATTTATGTTACTTCAATTATAAATAAAATATCGTAAATTTAATTTCTTAAACCTCAGTGTACAAGCGTATTTTAATACTTTCTTTAAACCTAATTTTTGAATTGAAATTACACATTTTATTAAACGAGAACGGTGCTACTTTGGTAGACGGTTGCACGGATTTTTGGCGATTTACGTTGGCCGAATAGTTGGCGCGATTTCTACAAACGTCAGCCATCTTGAAAAACGCTGTTTTTATGCATAGTAAAGTATTCGAAACTTAAAAGATAAATAAATAAATATCCTTAAAAGTAATGGATTAATTTTTGTTGAAAATGTCATTTTTAAGATGGCAGGCAAGGTAAATAAATACATTTACTATGAGTAAAAATACTAAAGTAAGGTTAAATTATTACTTTCATATATCAATGAAATCGAATAAAACACCGCTATAAAAACATTGTACCGATGTTTAATTGGATTAAAATATTATTTAAACTGAATATCGAATTAAAAACCATCATACCAACATTTAAAAGAATTAGAATATTATTAATTCAATACTTAAAATACGTTTATAGAATATAATTAACATTAAAACATAGGACAATAATACTCGCAATTCTGAAAATAGTTTTTAAATTTTTTAACAAAAATTGAAGTATACAATTATAAATAAAAGAAAAATATGTACTAACATTTTTTTGAGTGTTAACCTGTTGTTTATTGATAAGTAGCACAATAAAAAATCAGAATCATTAGATAACATCTTTGAAGAATCTTTGAGGAAAGAATTCGAAGATATAATTAAATTTTAAAACGGCGCGGAAATGCACAAATTGTCAGTAACCATCAGGGAGCTGATTACAGCTCGTTAATGCACAAATATTCTAAACAATCAGAGAGCTTATTACATCACGGCTAGAATAAAATTATTAAAAATTTATACATATAAAATCATTTTTTTTTAAAAAAATGCAAAATTAATGTATTTTTTATTTAGAGCATAAATAATGTTTAAAACATTAGATAAATTTATACATATTGAAACGAATTACTTTTTAAAGTAAGGTGATGTCATTGCTTACATCATCCACAACATAAAATTTCATAAAAATATGATAAACAATAAAATTTTTATTTCAAATAAAAATGACAAATTAAATTGATTTAATATTTAAAAGCCATAAATAATATTTTAAACACGGGATTTATGCCATAAAACGCACTATTTTTTAAATAAAATGACAAAAAGTATCGGTTATCATAAATAATATCTAGTAATGGGTTACCATAAGGGTATTACTCACCAAAGGAAAATCGCCAAAAAATCGCCAAAATCCGTGCACCGTCTACCAAGTAGACCACGAAACAATAACTAAATTAAAATCTTAATAATTTAAATCTTAATTAATTAAATTATTTGAAAGCTGAAACTAGGGTGCTACTTTGGTAGAGGTTGCAAGGATTTTGGCGATTTTTTGGCGAGTAATACAACTTATGGTAACCCATTGCTGGATAAGTTATTTATGGTAACCGATACTTGTTGTCATTTTATTAAAAAAAAATAATGCGTTTTATTATGCATAAATTCCGTGTTTTAAATATTATTTATGGCTTCTAAATATAAAAATCAACTGACTTTTGCATTTTTATGGAAATAAAAATTTGTTTATAAATTTTATATAATTTAATGTTGTGGATGATGTAATCAAGGACGTCACTACTTAAAAAGTAATTGGTTTTTTAATATCTATAATTTAATCTAATGTTTTAAACATTATTTATGGCTGTTCAATATTAAAAACAATTTAATTTTGCTTTGTTTTAAAAAATTGATTTTATTATGAATGATTATTTAAATAATTTAATTCTATGCGTATGTAATAAGCTCCTGATTGGTTACTGATATTTGGCATACCGCGCCTTTTAAAATTTTATATTCATCTCTTCGAATTCTCAGATTTTCAATGGAATGGATTCTCCGTTTCGAAGGTGACTGTTGTTATTGGGAATTACAAGAATTATGGTATTGGAATGAAAAAATTGCCCTTGAGACCTTTTTTGGCAACTGTCTTTCCTATCAAGATTATTTATAAATTGTTAATAGCGTCAGAGGAAATTTATTTTAAATTTTTGGAGGAACCCTCGCTAATTGCTTCTTCAATGTCCGAGAATGTTTATCACAGATGAAGATGGTTAGAAGAGCATTCAAATGATTCGAATTTTTTTGTGGTACTTATCAATAAACAAACAGTTAAATGACTCAAAAAAATTTAAATACATAGTTTTTCTTTTCTTTTATAAGTGTATACTTCAATTTTGTTAAAAAATTAATACACTATTTCAAAAATGCTGACATATTATTGTCACATATGTTTAATGTTAATTATATTCTATATAACGTATTTAAGTATTTGAATTTAATAATATTCTAATCTTTAAATGTGGTATGATGGTTTTAATTCGATATTCTATTTCAGTAATATTTTAATCTAATTAAAGTTAGCACCATGTTTTTTTATAGCGGTGTTTTTATTCTCTTTTTTTGCTATTATGAAAGTAATAATAACCTTACTTAGTAATTATACTCATAGTAAATGTGGTACTTTTCCGTTTCGCGGGCGCAAATCTCGCCAAGCAGACTTTATTGGCGACAACAGACAGTATACACATAAAAAATATTAAAAAAAATCTTAGTTCTAAGAATTCATTTTTTGAAGGCCATAAACATTTTAATATCACTTAAAACTTTATAAAAAGCCGATAAATAAAGACAATAAATTTGTAAAAAGACATTAATTTAAGAATTTACTATGCTTTCATGGTTCAAAATCCTAATTCGCCGGTTTATATCACGTGACCCCAAGCTATCTCATCTCACGTAAACAAATACTCTACAAAAATCTAATGCTCTCAGTAATTATCTACATTAATTTCAAGTTAATCTTAATTTGGAACACAAGTTTAAATGCAAGAAATATTTCAATTCGTACGAATAGCTTACTTAGAAATTATGTAAAACTGCAGTGCTTTACTTCGCTAATGTATCCTTATTAGATTGATGAATTAACCCTTGACTTTACCTTTTCTATATTTTCGGCTTCGGGTAAGAGCTGTGATTGCATCCTAATTGACTTAACTACTGAAAATGGCCTTAGACATAAAACTGAACTATCTGATAAAAATTCTATGTAATTATATGCCAGTATTGAAAAAACCAATCAATCTGATAAGAAAAAGCTGCGACTTGTTTTGAAAATGAGGCGTAAAAGGTTACCAGCGAGAATATTCCTTTTGGAATCGGTTGTACCATTATTGGCGACTTTATCGCTTGCGCCGGCAAAACGGAAAAGTACCGTAAAATGTATTTATTTACACTTGCCTGGCATCTTAAAAAACGACATTTTCAACAAAAAATTAATCCATTACTTTTAACGATATTTATTTATTTTTTTTAAGTTTCGAATACTTTACTATGCATTTCAAGATGGCTGACGATTATAAAAATCGCGCCAACAATCGTACCAACAACGTAAATCGCCAAAAATCCGTGCCACCGTCTACCAAAGTAGTACCAACATCAATAAATATTTTTAAAGTTATTAGTTAAATACTGATATTAGTTAAAATATCATTGTATAATTTAGTTAAAAAGTAAAGATATTATGATATATTTTTAACTCATATACAGAGTGTGTCAGTACAGCGTTGATAAACTTTCAGAAGAGATATATCTAAGCGATGGGAAATCACATAGGAATGCATGATTGGAAACGCTTTCCACGGACAGTAGTGACGACATAAAAGTCAAGAAAGAAAGGACACGAACGGGGTGAGAAAACATGTTTATTATTCGGAGTAGAACAAAAACAAAGAAAAAAACAACATAAAGAGAAAACTATCATCATCAAAAAGGGTGCTCGAAATTAGGACCCGGACAGCGATGCAGGAACCGTGCGTCATGCATCTCCATGCGATCTTCCATTAGTGATGCAGATCTTCTACGAGCCAGAGAAGTGAGACCTGCATCACGGTTCCGGGTCGTAATTTCGAACACCTTCTTTGATGACGAGAGTTGTTTATCTTTGTTCCTATTTGTAGGTTTTTGCTGTACTAAACATAATAAAACATGTTTTGTCTCACTGTTTGTGGCCTTCCTTTTTTAGCGTTTTTTGTCGTCTTACCGCCGGTTACAGCCGAAAACATCGCGGCAAAAACATCGCGGACGAAAACGTCGCAGAGAAAACAACGCAAGGCGAAAACGTCGTGCTACAAAACATCGTGGGAGAAAACATCGCAAAGAGAAAACATCGCAGTTCTAAAACATCGTAGTACAAAACATCGTCGTCGAAAATAAAGCGGTTCAGAAACTTCGCTGTTTGAAAAGATCGTCGTCGAAAATATCGTGGTAAAAATAAAGTATCTACAAATCATCGCATGACGATAACATCGCAGACATGCTTTTGTCAGGCTTTAAGGGGGCTCATACACCTTAAACCCCTTATGATCTTCGAATATGTGACTGTTGCAAGAATTGGGATATTTTTATTTATTTTAAAAGCAATTACTTCCAATTTTTTACAGCTGACTACATAATATAGCTGCTTTGGAAACTAGTAACCAGAATGTTTGTGCTGCCACAAATATTTTTGTAATTAAATCCGCTTTGTGACAAAATATTTCGTCATGTTTTCACATTGCGCGCATGATATTTTAAAAATGGCTAATGGTACGTACTTGAAATTTCATGGAATTCTTTATATGGACACTATTTTCTAAGTGAACCAAAAATTTGATGAATATTTTAGTATTAAAAAAAATTTATACACCAAAACATTACAGATTTTTTTAATAAAATACATTTTATAAATTCAATCCAAATAAAATAAACATTTAACATAAAACTCTTAGAATTT